AGTGGTATGTGATGGCCTTGGATCAGTGATTGGTCACTGGGAGATCCACACTAACAGGCCTGAGCATTTTCGACTGGATGGAGTACACCTCTCCAATAGAGGTTTGGAAATATTTTTGGCTGACCTCGGGGGGGGGTCCTGCTTTTGGAGCTTGAGAGGCTCAATGGCAGGCATGTGCCTTAAGCGTAGCTTGTCCCTATGCTGTGGTGGGTAGTGCGGATAAAACAGGTTTCAGTGAGTCCCATCACAACCACAGGTAAGATATAGCTCATCTGATCTCCCAGTGCTGCGGATCGTGCGATTACAGTGCTTGGGGGAGATCAGCTGGGGCCACTCCCAGACCAACAATCAACAAGAAGAAGAGGACTTGAGGTCCGGGGAGGTCAAATTTGGGCCGGCCGGCTTCTCCCTGTCTTCATGACTGTGAGATCTTGAGGCTCGGGACTCACCCATAGGTTGGTCAGGATCTGCAGAACCTGATTCCACACTACAACAGGACCCCCCTTTCCTCTGAGGATAAATATGAATATTCAATAAAGTGTGGTCCATGTTTATTCCATAACAGTTGTCTCATGTCTTATTCTGGGGTACAAGGATAATGAACTGTTACACCAACTGCCAGAAGAGGAACTTTTGGGGTTTCCAGTAACAAGAAATGTTATTGCACCAAGTTTATTCATGAATTGTTGCCATTTCCTGTTGTGTGGCATACTGTAATACTACCTGTTCAAAGATGAAAGACATTTTCACAGTCAACAGAAAAAGCTATGGATGTTCCTGTTGGCATGGGGCCAACTCCAGAGGCTTGATATGGCGTATGCCTCTCCAAAAGCTTGGAGTCAGATTTGGAATAATGAAGCTTCTGAGAGCACTCTGTTAGGGAAAAACAAACCTTGGAGCCCAAGATAATAAGTTACACAGAGCCTCTTATCTGGTAGCTTCCTCCCCTTAATTAGCAGAAGCCAGCAAAATCAGGGAGCTTGACAGGGGACAGGTTGCATTGGTCTTCAGTGTGGAAGGGATTGTCACTCTCGAATTGGCCTTCTCAGCCACACTAGATGCTGTTCCAAGTCCTCCATACAGAGCAAGTTACCATAGTCTCTCAAGACTGAAGGATGCCTAACTCTGTTTTACTGTATGTGTATCAGGCATCTCGGGGTGTGCTCAGTTCCCTGTTTAAGGGCATGAAAATTTCTGCTATGGGAAGAAGATCTGTTGAGGAAACGATGAGAGATGAAAGGGATTAGAGGAGGTGAAAGTTACAAGTGTTAACAACACTCCGTCACCCCAATGGTTCTTCCACCTATCAGATGGAGGGTCAGGCAGCATGAGACCCTTGAGTCTCAGCACTCCCTCAAATGGGGGAAATTTGCCTCTGCATGACTTGGTCAATGTTAAATAATGTTAAATAATGTTAAATAATGGGGATGGTGGAAGCAGGTCTTTGAGTCAAACTTTCTGGAAGCACTGCTGAAATAGGGGGATGGAGTGTTTGGGAGCCAGAAGTGGTGCACAATAGGCTTGATAGACCATCTCCCCTTTACCACTTCCTTGAATGTCATCCTCGCAAGACAAAGAAGGATAGGAAAGCAGAGTGGCTATCAAAGGGATCTGACCCAGAAATCATGGCATTGCTTCTCAATATGGATGGGCAAACATGTATGTAGATTCTGTGCAATTCACTGTACTTTCCAACATAAAGATCGATCTATCCGTTTTCTGCATGAACTGGCAAATTTGAATCTGTACATATTTTTGTTCTCCCATCTCTAAATCTAGAATTCATGTGCATTTTTGCTCAAATTGTTCAAATTACACAAATTTTTGCAAGTCTTACTTTAAAACATCATCCTTAAGGAAATTCCCCTGTAACACAAGAATTTCTGTGCACACTTGTCTCTACCATACACATTTTTTCACTCATTTTGTCTGCAAACTCTAATAAAATGCAGATATTAATACTGAACTCTATTTCTCTTTATTTATCGGCTCAAATGATGCAAATCTGGTAAACTGCTTTAAACATACAAACTAAATGAATTGCAGCTCTTCCTTGATTCCTTCTTTAGTTACAAATCACACATGAACAAAGTCTTCAATGAATTTGTTCCACTTAGTAACAAAGTCTTCAAAAAATTTGTTCCACTTAGAAAAACAGAAATTTCAGAGAATAGTGCAGAATTTTAACAAGTAATCTCTAAAAATCTCTTTTTGTTTTGAAATGTTGATAAAGCATAATCATCATTACCTGAAATTTGCAATTTTCAAAATATACAATCTTCACAATTATGTGTTCTCACACCTTCCCATCTCTGCATATTATGAAGAGACCACAGCACTTGAATTACCTGCTCTGCAGTGTCTCCTTTCTGGACACAGTGCCTCTCATTTCCTTCTTCTGCTTCTTTATAAATGCACAACCTGATACAATTATTTAAAGCATATTTGTTCTCCTTTTCACTTCATTTTAACCTCATATGTTTTGTAAAACTAAGAAGTCCCCTTGTGCATTCATTTTCCTGTCATCCCACCGGGAAGCCACTATCTCGTTGGAATTCTTCATAATGTATACCTTAAGATTATCATTAAATTCTTTGTCTAGAGCTGAAGAAAGCAATTGAAAATTAAAAAGTTTATTGGGGAGAAGGTTCTTCATTTTGCAAAAGGTAGATGCAAAACTAAATTCAGCAAAATTGAGACTTTCATTCTAGTTTAATGTTTAATCCATCCATGCATACAGAAAAGAAGCAAATCAATATATCATGTGTGAGGATTATGTTTGGGAGAATGTCTCCCCAGTTATAAGTTTTTTTCTGGTCAACGCTGTGAAGATAACAAAACTTCATTCTTTTCATTAAAAGGGCAAAAATATTTCCTCACATACGTGCATGTATTCTATAAATAATTCCAAAGTAGTACAACAAGGTACTGGGACGTGGTGGCACTGCGGGCTAAACCGCAGAAGCCTGTGCTGCAGGGTCAGAAGACCAAGCAGTCGTAAGATCAAATCCACGCGACGGAGTGAGCGCCCATCGCTTGTCCCAGCTCCCGCCAACCTAGCGGTTAGAAAGCATGCAAATGCAAGTAGATAAATAGGGACCACCTCAGTGGGAAGGTAACAGTGTTCCATGTCTAAGTCGCACTGGCCATGTGACCACGGAAGATTGTCTTCGGACAAAAACGCTGGCTCTACGGCTTGGAAACAGGGATTAGCACCGCCCCCTAGAGTCGAACACGACTGGACAAATATTGTCAAGGGGAACCTTTACCTTTAGTACAACAAGGTACCAGAGTGACGTGGAGAAAAAGGTACATATGTACATGCATGGAGATCCTGCCCTTTAGTAGCAAACTTTGGGGAAGAAGTTAGAAATATAGAAAGAAATATAACAATCAGTAAAATTTATTTTCTTTTGACACCAGAATTGGCCCTTTGAATTTTTTTTACAAATGAAAACATAAGGATTTATTTTCTTATCAATAGTTGCTAGAATGGAAATAGTCAAACGTTGAAAGGCTATTGAAACATTATCTTTTAATGTTTGGTATGAAAGAGTATGAAGGTTAGCTAATGTCAAAAAGGTAACAAATGAAGTAAGAGTACACAGAAACCCAACATACACCAACAAGTAAATGCTTACAATACTTTGAAAGCTTTTATTCGGATTGTAGACATGAATGCCAACCCATGGTACAAGCCACATGTAACATACGTGGATGTCTGACAGGATTGGTAAAATGAAGTTTTATATTAGAATTTAAGTAATAACGCTGGTGAAGTGAGGTTCTGGAATTTAAAGTTATCTGGGTACTTCCATTTGTTATGTCACATCACTCTGCAGCCTTTTTGAAAGCTTTTATTCGGATTGTAGACATGAATGCCAACCCATGGTACAAGCCACATGTAACATACGTGGATGTCTGACAGGATTGGTAAAATGAAGTTTTATATTAGAATTTAAGTAATAACGCTGGTGAAGTGAGGTTCTGGAATTTAAAGTTATCTGGGTACTTCCATTTGTTATGTCACATCACTCTGCAGCCTTGAATTGAAAACGACAGAAACCCAACATACACCAACAAGTTTTAAAATGCTTACAGTACTTTGAATGCTTTTATTCAGATTGTAGACATGAATGCCAACCCAAGGTACAAGCCACATGTAACATACGTGGATGTCTGACAGGATTGGTAAAATGAAGTTTTATATTAGAATTTAAATAATAACGTGGTGAAGTGAGGTTCTGGAATTTAAGGTTAAGTTGGGTGAGAGTGGTTCTTGTGGGTTTTTCGGGATGCTTGCCCATGTTCTAAAGGTTTTTCTTCCTAACATCTGGCTACTTATCACCGTTTGGCTAGACATTTTGCCAGTGTCTGTTGCAGGCCTCTTCAGAGGACAGGAGTAAAATGTACAGGATTTTTAAAAACCAAAAACGGGAGGATAACCTTTCAAACATACATTTAAAAAAAAAAATCTAGTCAATTACTCTCAATACCATTTTTTTTTTCAAAATAGCCCCCACATGCCTAAGGCAAAAAAAGCTTTTAAAATTATATTCTTCGTAGAATAGTAGAATGGGGATCTGGTGGCACTGTGGGTTAAACCGCAGAAGCCTCTGTGCTGCAAGGTGAGAGGGCCAGCAGTCGTAAGATTGAATCCACATGACGGAGTGAACTCCCATCGCTTGTCCCAGCTCCTACCAAACTAGCAGTTCGAAAGCATGTAAATGTGAGTAGATAAATAGGTACCAGCACGGTAGGAAGGTAACGGTGTTCCGTATCACAGCTTCCAGGCCTCGTGACCACCAAAACTGTCTACAGATAAACACTGGCTCTACAGCTTGGAGACAGGGATGAACACCGGACCCTAGAGTAAGAAACAACTGGACTAAATGTCAAAGGGATCCTCGAATAGGAAAAACACCAGCATTTAAAGAAATGAGTGCATAAAGTTAGATCCCTGTTTTCTAGTGATCCTCGAATAGGAAAAATACCAGCATTTAAAGAAGTGAGTGCATAAAGTTAGATCCCTGTTTTCTTTGAAATGCACCCAATCTAGAAATAAGTTTTCTAAAAGCTTCCTTTACTTCCTTGTTTCTCAGGGAATATATCAGAGGGTTGAGGAAAGGTGTCAGGACTGTATAGAAGAGAGAGAAGACTTTCTTGAGATCTCCAAGTGCCTCTGTTTTGGGCAAAGTATAGACAATCATTATTGTGCTGTAGAAGATGAAGACAACAATGAGGTGAGAGGAGCAGGTTGAGAAGGCTTTTTTTCTCCCACTCCTTGATGGGATTCTCAGAATGACTGATAGGATGGAAACATACGAAGCCAAGGTCAACAAGAAGGGAGGCAAGGAAAACAGGCCAGCAAAACAGATTAACAATAATTCAAGCATGTGTGTATCATTGCATGCCTGTTTTATTATTGAATTGATATCACAAAAGAAATGGTTGATTTCATGAGAGCTGCAGAACCTCAATTGGTGCATTAAATATACTATTATATTAGCAGCCAAGAAACCATTTATACAAGAGCCAGCTATTAAGCGGAGGCAAACCTGACCATTCATAAGTGTTCTATAGAGCAGTGGTTTGCATATTGCCACATACCTGTCATACGACATTGCAGCAAGCAGGTAGCATTCTGAAGCTCCTGAGGAACCAAAAAGGTAGTACTGCACCATGCAGCCAGTTACAGAAATGGTTCCTTGACCCCCTTTAGAAAGGTTAGCTAGCATCAGGGGAAGGATACTGGAGCTGTAACAGCATTCCAAGCAGGATAAGTTAGCCAAGAAGAAGTACATAGGAGTATGGAGGTGGTGGTCAATTATAACCAGCACAACAATGAGGATGTTCCCGGCCATGGTAGCAATGTAGATGACCAAGAAGAGCAGGAAGGGAAGAAACCACTGATCCTCCACATCTCCAAATCCCAGAAGAAGGAATTCCGTGACCAGCGTTTGATTTTCCTGTCCTGTCTTTTCCATCTTGGCAGTTCAGACCTAAAAAAGATCATATCAACTGTATTGTAAAAGTATAGAAATGAAGGAATGAAGTTCCTTTTCTAGAAACATGTTCTTACTCAGATAATGTTAAAACAGGCAGTCAGCAAGGAGAAGGTAGAGAGCTGAAAGTGCAAACACCTTGCTGTGTGTGGAGAAACTAGGGATTTGGGAAAATATGAAAATAATGCTTTTTACCTGTTCATGACCTGATGAACCCGAAAAACAAACAGAAAGGTCAGCATATGAAGGGACAATGTTCATTTTGCCTTCCTTTTCTGATCGCTTCAAAGGAGAAACTCTAAGAAGGAACTGACACTCCTACGTTATCACTTTATCAGAGAATATTTCAAATGTGCAAACAGGTTTGCCATTGCTTTGTGTGAAGAAACTAGGGATTTGGGAAAAGATGAAAATAATGCTTTTACCTGTTCACGACCCGATGAACACATGTGAACCTGAAAAATAAACTGAAAGGCCAGCATTTGAAGGGACAATGGTTCCAGCCGCCTGACGGTCCGTTTTACCGACCTGGATGGGGCGCCGCTGGCATTTGCCCACCAGCCTAGAGGGCGCGAGACAGCTCAGTAAACGTCACAATTGATGGGCGGGGAAGTGTGAACATTTAAGTGTGCTCTTCCCGCACTTCGCCCTCTTTCCTTTAAACAGATCATATCAACTGTATTGTAAATGTAGAAAAATGAATGACTGAAGTTCCTTTTCTAGAAACATGTTCTTATTCAGATAATGTTAAAACAGGCAGTCAGCAAGGAGAAGGTAGAGAGGTGAAAGTGCAAACACCTTGCTGTGTGTGGAGAAACTAGGGATTTGGGAAAATATGAAAATAATGCTTTTTACCTGTTCATGACCTGATGAACCTGAAAAACAAACAGAAAGGTCAGCATATGAAGGGACAATGTTCATTTTGCCTTCCTTTTCTGATCGCTTCAAAGGAGAAATTGTAAGAAGGAACTGAGGCCCTGGTCACACAAGGGGAATGGCTTCTAGTTCTTACAATACTTTCCATACTTCTGTTGTATTGAATCATGATCATGTGGTTTGTATCCCAGAACGAAAGTTACAAGAAATTTTATCAGTACCAGTTTATTTCTGATCGCAGGAAAAATTGTAAGAAGGAACTGAGGCCCTGGTCACACAAGGGGAATGGTTTCTAGTTCTTAGAATACTTTCCACACCTCTGTTGTATTGAATCATGATAATGTGGTCTGGTCTGCAGAATGAAAATTCCAAGAACTTTTATCAGTACCAGTTTATTTCCTCCTGTATGTATCGTTATGGCTAAATTGCCCCTTAAAGCAAGAGAGAAAATAAACCACTACCATGGTGTAGCTAGCCATCATGATACAATCAGGAGGAAATAAATTGGTACTCCCTACTCCCCTTTAAAGGGGACCATCTCCCCTTTACCGCTTTCTTGAATGTCATCCTTGCAAGACAAAGGATAGGAAACAGAGTGGCTATCAAAGGGATCTGACCCAAAAATCATGGCATTGCTTCTCAATATGGATGGGCAAACATGCATGTAGATTCTGTGCAATTCACTGTACTTTCCAACACAAAGATCGATCTATCCCTTTTCTGCATGAACTTGCAAATTTGAATCTGTACATATTTTTGTTCTCCCATCTCTAAATCTACAATTCATGTGCATTTTTGCTCAGATTGTTTAAATTCCACAAACTTTTGCAAGTCTTCCTTTAAAACATCATCCTTAAGGAAATTCCTCTGTAACACAAGAATTTCTGTGCACACTTGTCTCTACCATACACATTTTTTTACTCATTTTTGTCTGCAAACTCTATTAAAATGCTGATTTCAATACTAAACTCTATTTCTCTTTATTTATGGGCTCAAATGATACAAATCTCATAAACTGCTTTAAACATACAAACTAAATGAATTGCACCTCTTACCTGATTCCTTCTTTAATTACAAATCACAGCTGAACAAATCGTCAAAGTCTTCAATGAATTTGTTCCACTTAGGAAAACAGAAAAGATTTAAGAATAGTGCAGATTTTAACAAGTAATCTCTAAAAATCTCTTTTTGTTTTGAAATGTTGATAAAGCATAATCATCATTACCTGAAATTTGCAATTTTCAAAATATACAATCTTAACAAATTACGTGTTCCCACACAACCCTCTAGTCCCATCTCTGCATATTATGAAGATACTACAACACTTGAATTACCTGCTCTGCAGTGTCTTCGTTCTGGACACAGTGTTTCTCATTTCCTTCTTCTTCATCATCTTCTTTATGAATGCACAACTTGATACAATGATTTAAAGCAGATTTGTTGTCATTTTCACTTCATTTTAACCTCATCTATTTTTTAAAACTAATCAGTCCTTTGAGCATTCATTTTCCTATCTTCCCACAGGGATGCCACAGTCTCGATGGAATTTTTCATAATACGTACCGTATTTTTCCATGTATAAGATAATACTTTTGTCAAATATCTTTAGACTAAAACTTGAGTTTTCTTATACATGGAAGTATGCTGAGGAGAGAAAAGCAAGTGGAGGGGAAAGCAGGGATGAAAGTGATGTTGCAGGGCTTTGATCTCTGTTTTCCCCTCCACTTGCTAAGCCTTAGCAAAAGGAAAGGAGGAATCAAAGCGCTGCAGGATGGCTTTGATCCTTGCTTTCCCTTTGCTTACTAAGTCCCATGGGGCTTGGCAAAATGAGGGGGAAAGGCTCAAAGCAATCCCATGGCTGTATAAGGGGTAAAGGGATCAAAACAATCATGTAGTCACAGGATAGCTTCGATCCCTTTCCCCCTCCTTTTGCGAAGCCCCGCGGGGCTTAGCATGAGGGGAGAAAACAAGGATCAAAGCGATCCTGCAGTGCTTTGATCCCTTTCCCCCTACACTTGCTAAGCCCCACTTAGATTTCTTAATTTTGGGTTAGAAAAGTGCAGGTGTCTTATACATGGGGGTCTTATACATGGAAAAATACAGTATCTAAAGATTATCATTAAATTCTTTGTTTAGAATTGAGGAAAGCAGTTGAAAACTAAAAAGTTTAATGGAGAGGGTAGGGGGCTAGATTCTTTAATTTGCTAAATATAGATGATGCAAAACTAAATTCAGCCAAAATGAGACTTTCATTCTACTTTAATTTTTAATCCAATTCATAGAGAAAAGAATCAAATCAATATATTGAATGTGAGCATTAAGATTAGGATAATGTATCACCAGTAGTAAGTTTTTTCTGGTCAACATTGTGAAGATAACAAAACTTACTTCTATTCATTAAAAGGGAAAAATATTTCTTTACATACATGCTTGCTACACATGTTGGCCTGTGGTCTTATTACAAGATTTCTCCATCCCCCCCCCCCACAGAATCTAGTCCTTTCCTACGGATTTTTTTTTGC